CAATGCCCTCATCCAGCACTTCCTGCAGGAGGCTGCTCAGCGCCGGTCCTGGGCCAGTGGTAAGGCTGCTCCTTGTCCACAGGGCTGCACCCATGGGGTGCTCCCACCTTTTGGGGTCAGGCTGTCTGACCCACGCTGCTGGGGCTGAGCAAGGCTGGGGGGCACGGGTCCCCTTTTCCCACACTTTGGGGGTGCCTTTGCCCATGCTGTCTCCAGCCCAGGGCAGGGAGGTGGTGCTGAGCCTCTGTTGACTGTCTTGGTGTCTGCACATGCTTGCACATGCATGTTCACATGTGTTTGCAAGCATGGGGGTGTAAGTGCACATGTGTTTCTGTGTGTGTCTGCATGTGCATGTCTGGGTGCATGTGTCTGCACATGTGTGTGCATCCCTGCAATTACACATCCATGTATCCCATATTTGTTTGTCCCCCTTGTATGCACATATGTCCCCCTGTGCACACGTGTGTGTCCCCTAAGTGCCCCTCCTTGTATGAGCACACACAGGGGTGCCCCTGCACCCACACGAGCTCTGCCTGCCCCTACTATCCCCTAAACTGCCCCAATTTCCCTTTCCTCCCACTCTGCCCCACAGAGGAGGAGTCAGCTGAGCAAACGTCCCAGGTAAGGGCCTGCCTGGCTGCCCCCCTCTAGGGTGGGTGTCCCCAGGAGCCCTGGGGCTCTCCGAGGTGGCAGTGGGTCAGGAAGGAGGGAGTCACTTTATGTGTGATGTCCCCTCTCTCCTGGTGTCTCCACAGACATCTTCGCCCAGCCAGTCATCCGTGAGGGAGAAGAGCAGCACCCCAAGGAAGAGGAAAGCCCCTCTGCCCCCCCTGGGCACCCCCAGCCAGGTAAGGGGGGTCCCCCTTAGCTCCACAGCCACCCCCAGTGCAGCGTAGCCAAACCATGGCCAGTTTGGGCAAAGTTCCTCAGCTTCACCCAGCCCTGCAGTGGAGGTGATGCTCATGGGCTGGCCTGAGCAGCAACAGAGGCTTCATCCCCGCTCCTGGCGTGCAGCACCCCAGATCCCAGTCCCCTGTTTTGTCCATCAGCCCCTTTCTATCCACACCATGGGTCCAAAGCACCCCTCACCTGAGCTGGCACTGGGGGGGGGGGGGTGTCTATGCCATGCCAGAGCCTTTCCTTCTCCCTCTGGTGTCCAAAAGCTCCCTGCACCCCTTGGAGCATGGTGTGCACATGGTGAGGATCCCGGTGAGGATGGGGAGGGGGTGTCAGGGCTGGGCATGGGGGCTCGGCAGCCACGTGCCTGCAGGAGGACCGGGACGCCTACGAGGAGATCGTGCGGCTGCGGCAGGAGAGGGCCCAGTTCCTGCAGAAGATCCGGGGCCTGGAGCAGCAGGAAAAGCAGAGACGGGAGGTACCAGCGAGCTGCAGGGTTGTGGGGAGAGACCAGCGTGTCCCTAGGGGTTGGAGGGGATGGGGCAGCATTAATGCCTCCCTGTTTTCTGTGTCCTGCTAGCGGGCAGAGCTGGATGAGAGCTCCCTGCGCTCCATGGAGAAGCAGGTGAGGCCACTGAAGGGGTGGCTGTCCACGGGGTCCTTGTGCTGTGGATGCTTTTGGGACCCCGGTGGGAGCGAAGGGGACCCTACCCCTGTGCCTGGCCCCACAGATCCAGGAGCTGGAGCAGCGGCTGGCGGCACGGGATGGTGAGAAGGAGCGGCTGGGCAAGGAGGTGGAGGCTCTGCAGAGCCGCTTGTCCTCGCTGGAGGTAGGTGTGAGTAGACCCTAACAGCAGCAGGGGCTGGGGTCTTGGGGGCTGACCACGACTCTGCACCCCCAGAATGAGAAGGAGAACACAAGCTACGACATCGAGACACTGCAGGACGAGGAGGGAGACCCGCTTGAATTCCCAGGTACGGGGTGGCCCTTGGGGGGGGGGGGGGTGACACCGTGCAGTGGGAGCAGCACCAGAGCCCCTGCACCCTGCAGGGGCAGAGCTGCTGCTCTCCAAGAAGACACTGAGCCCCTCGGCCGAGGAGCTGCTGGCCACGCTGCAGGGGCAGGTCCAGTCCCTCACCGTGCAGAACAAGGAGCTGAGGGAGAAAATACAGGCAAGTCCCTGTCTGTCCCTCGCTGTGTCTGTCCTCTGGGCCCCGGTGGCCTCACCATGTCCATTGCAGGTGCTGGAGAACTACGAGCGGGACGAGAGCGACACGTCCACACCGAGGGACTTTGTGCCCATCAGCCAATACAGGGCCCTGCAGCGGGAGCTGGAGCAGCTGCGGGCGCAGCGCGGGGGCTTGTCTGCGAGGGATGAAGCCGTGGGGCAGCCGGAGGGGCAGCCCGGAGCCCCGGAGCGGGTCTTGGAAGGGAGCACAGCCCCACAGCGACCTGCCAAGGAGCCAGCCGGGACCTGTGGCAAGTGCAAGGCAGCACTGGGCGACCCACAGCCCTCCTCCTCCTCCTCCTCTTCCTCCTCAGCTGGGGCTGAGCTGGCGGAGGCCCGGGCAGCCCTGCGGCAGGCGCAGGCGGCGCTGCAGGAGCGTGAGCAGCAGGTGAAGGAGCTGCAGGCGCGTCTGGAGGCCGGCAAGGAGGCCGTGGAGGTGACGGCCTCCCTGGAGGAGGCGTCGAGGGAGAAGGAGGCTCTGCTGGAGCGCTGCAGCCGCGCCGAGGCCGAGGCGGAGGCTCTGCGGCGGGAGCTGGAGGCCAAGGCGCGGGACTGGCAGGCGGCGGGCGGCCCCGAGCCGGGGGCTCTGGAGCGGCGCGTGGCGGAGCTGGTGCGGCAGCACGAGGAGGTGACGGCGCAGCTGGGGCAGCTGCGGGAGACGCTGGGCCAGCGGGACGCGGAGCTGGGCTCGCTGCGGGAGCAGTTGGCCGAGCGGCCCGTGGGGCGTCGGGAGCACGAGGAGGCGCTGGCGCGGCTGCGGCGCGCGCAGGAGGAGGGCAGCGTGCCGCGGGACGAGCACGCGCGGGTCACCGCCGCGCTGCAGGAGCAGGCGCGGACGCTGCGGGAGCGCGTGGCCCAGCTGGAGGCGGCCGCCGAGGCCAAGGGGCGCGAGGCCACGCGGCTGGAGGCCGAGCTGGCGGGCGCGGTGCCACGGGGGCAGCACGAGGCGGCGCAGGCCGGGCTGCGGGCGGAGGCGGCGGCGCTGGAGCAGCGGCTGGCGGAGCTGAGCCGGCGGCACGAGAAGACGTGCGAGGAGGTGTTCCGGGTGCAGCGGCAGGCGCTGTTCATGAAGAGCGAGCGGCAGGCGGCCGAGGAGCGCCTGGGCACCGCGCAGAAGCAGCTGGCGGAGGCGCAGGACGAGGCGCGGAAGCTGCGAGAGCTCCACGGTCACGCTGAAGACTCGGCCCGGCTCGTCAGGGAGAGGGATAGGAAGGTAGGGATGGGGGGGTGGGAACTGGAGTGGGGCTTGGGACAAGGGATGCAGGGCCAGGCCGAGGGGAATGGCTTGAACCTGCCCCAGGGGAGACTGAGATGAGCTCTTAGGCAGAAGCTCTTCCCTGTGAGGGTGCTGAGGCGCTGGCACAGGGTGCCCAGAGAAGCTGTGGCTGCCCCATCCCTGGCAGTGCTCAAGGCCAGGTTGGACACGGGCTTGGAGCAAGCTGCTCCAGTGGAAGGTGTTGGGGTTGGAGCTGGAGGAGCTTTAAGGTCCCTTCCAACATAAACCAGTCTCATTCATTCTGTGATTCAAATCATGGCTCAGGATGTGCCCAGGTTGCAGGGGAAATGCACTCACAAACAGGGATAGATATGTACACAGATGTGTGCATGTACACACATGCGTGTAGGTGCTTATGTGTACACGCATGTGTTCACACACCTTCACACGCTTGCACACTTGTGCCTGCACATAGATGCATGTTTGCACATGTACGCACGCACATGGGCACACACAGCTCCGTGTGGACTTGCCCCTTTCCCTGCTGTTCCCCTTTTCTCCTCCCAAAGCCAAGACTCAAATGGAGCAGAGGGAACAGCTGGGAAAGCGCTGGCTCTGCCCGGGGCCACCCGGTGGTGCTGTGGTCACAGCCATGGTGGCTCCATGGTGGACCCCAGGGCTGGGTCTGAGCGCTGCCTGTAACCCCTGTGTCCTGCAGATCACGGAGCTCTCAAAGGAGGTCTTCAGGCTGAAGGAAGCCCTGAACATCCTCCCCGAGTCGCAGGGAGCACCACAGTCATCCCCCAATGCTGCTGCACTCCAGGCCAGGATCCGTGCGCTGGAGGAGAAGCTGCTGGTGGGTACCAGGGGTCCTGTGGCCGTTGCTTGGTGGGTTCTGGGCTTTGCCAAGGCCACGCTCACAGCCCGTCGCTCTCCTGCAGGAGACAGAAACGCGACACAGCAAAGTGGTGACGCTGTACAGGAGCCACCTGCTCTATGCTGTGCAGGTGAGATGGGGACGTGGCTGGGGGGGAACTGGGGACATGACAGCCTGAGAACATTGGGGCTGATCAGCCCCAGGAGAAGCTGTGTGGAGACCTCAGAGCAGCTTCCGGTGTCTGAAGGGGCTACAAGGATGCTGGAGAGGGGCTCTGCATCAGGGACTGGAGGGGTAGGACAAGGGGTGATGGGTTCAGACTGAAACAGGGGGAGTTCAGGTTAGGGGTAAGGAAGAAGTTCTTCCCTGTGAGGGTGATTCCTCACAGACTCCCTGATGTCCTCACCAATGTCCCTTCCACCCCAGGGCCACATGGACGAGGACGTGCAGAGACTCCTGTGCCAGATCCTGAGGATGCAGCGGCTGCAGGAGCAGGACAGATGAGCTGCAGAGGGGATGGTGGCACAGTCAGTGACACGGACAGGCTCATGGCAGCACCCTCTGTGCCCCTTTGCTTCTCCTGGCAGCACCGTGGTACCCACCCCCCCCACCCCCCCCAGCCCTGGGGCCATGTGCACCCCCTGCAGCCCCACACACAGCCCAGCACAGCAGCAATAAAGTATTTATACTCACACCGACGTGACAGCTTGTCTCAAGGGGAGGATGAGGGTACTGGGGGCTATGTGGGACAGTGCGGGACCGGTGCTATCATCATGTCCCCATGAAGACAGCAGGGTGAGGGAATGGGAAGGGATGAAGCTTTCTTGGCCAGAACCCAAACCCCTTTCCTGTGGGTCTGGGCCCCAGGAGCAGCAGCCCCATGTGCAGGGGCTCCTTTGGGGCCACCCTTGGCAGCGAGTCCCCCCCTTGGGGACCACGTTTCCTGTGCGAGGAAGTGGGCTGAGGCCGGCCGGGACCGTGGCTTCCCGCTGCAGCGCTGCCAGATCCTCTGCTCCGGGTGCCTGGTCCCGCTGCGGTGAGTGTGACTGGGGCTGGGGATAGGGGGGGCCCCACAGCGCCTGGCTGGGGGCACCGCGGGGAGCCCCTTGGCCTTGATAAGGGGAAAGTGAGGCAGTGACAAGGGCAGGATCTGTCCCTTGGTGCTGGCCTTGGTCACAGCGGGGAGCTCAGCCCCCAGGCTGGGTCTGGGGGTCTCTGTGAGGGACAGTCCCTCCCCAGGGGCCTGGGGGGCTGGGGGCCACCTGAGTGCATTGACCCCTTCCCTGGTTGAGGTCTGGAGCGACCCGAAACCTCAGTTCTGGGCATGGCACCGCAGAGGCGGCTGCTGGTCCCTATGGGATACCCATGGGACACCTCCGGTCCTATGTCTGCCCCTCCGCCTTCCCAGCATCAGGATCCAGCCACTGCAGGGAGAAACCATCCCCTGTCCCCAGGGAGTACAGCACGGCCAGAGGGTAAACTGAGGCACAGCACAGTGGGGTGGCCCTGCGATGGGTCTGAACCCCTGGCTTTAGGGCAATGTCCCTGTGGCCGTGGTGTCCCTGCTGTCCCCTGCCCTGGGGTTTGACCGTCCTGCCTGTCCCCACAGATCCCTGCTGGAACTGGGCAGCTCTGCTGAGACTCCTTGACATGAGGTGGCTTTGGGTGGTGGCTCTTGTGGCACCCGCCTGCACCATGCCCTACAACAGCACAGGGGGCAGCACTGGGGATGGGGACAATGGGGACAGAGGTATGGGGCACATGGGACAGGGGATAGAGGGGCTGGGGCAGCTGGGATGGAGGTATGGGGGACCTGGGGGACCAGCAATAGAGGGACTAGGGGTCTGGAATGGAGGCATGGGGTGATCTGTGGGGACCAAAGACAACAGCACTGGGCAGACTGGAAGGGCTGGGGATGGAGATGGAGGGATCAGGGAGGGAGGTACAGGGGCACTGAGGGGCATGGGGACACGATTACAGGGCATCTAAGGCTAGAGCCATAGGGACACTGGAGGGACTGAGGACATGGGGAGACTGAGGGCAGAGGCAGGGGGGGACTGCTGCTGGAGCAACAGGGACACTGGGGGGTCTGGGGACACGAGGGGACCAAGGAGGCTGGGGGCAGTGGGGAGGGAGTGGCACTGGGGTGCTGGGAACAGAGCATAGACCCTTCCCGACCCAGCATCACCCCATCCCATCACTGTGGCACCTTCCCTGATGGGGACCACTGCATGTCCCCAGGGCGCTGCTGGGTGCACTACAGCACCCTGGGCTCCGAGGTGCTGCTGCCCTGCCCGGCCGCAGCGGGGGGCACGGCTCAATGGCGCCGGGGGGACACAGTCCTGGGAGCGCATCCTGCACCGGGGCTGGTGCTGCCCAACGCCAGCCTGGCCCACGAGGGCCGCTACAGCTGCCACCACCCCGGCACCGGCGAGACCTGGGGCACCGTGTGCCTGCGGCTGGGCTGTGAGTGACCCTGCCCCACTGCGGCCCTGCTCCCCACTGGGGAGGGAGGCAGGGGGTGACCGTGGCTGTCCCATGCCGCAGACCCCCCCGCTCCACCTGCGCTCCAGTGCTGGGCCATCAGCTACCCGCAGGCAGTGAACTGCTCCTGGGCTCTGGCCCCTGAGCCGCTGCTCGACACCGACTTCGTGGCCACGTACAGGTGAGTAGGGGGCTGCAAGCGCTGGATAAGGCCCCCCCATAGCCTGCGTTGTACCCGGGGCCTCACCCAGCGCCCCCCTCTGCCCCCCAGGCACGGCACTGGGGGGGACACAGAGGTGGGTGAGTGCATCCCCACGGGCCCACGGAGCTGCTCCTTTGGGAACGTGCAGGTTTTCTCCCTCATCCCCTATGTGGTGAACGTGACGGCCGTGAACGCCCTGGGCGCTGCCTCCTCCATCCTGCCCTTCCTGCTGGAGAGCATCAGTGAGTGCTGCTGGACCAGACCCTTGCGCCCAACCCTCCGCCACTGAGCACCGCGTCTGGGTCTGACCCAGCCCTGGGGCTTCCTTTGGGCCTCTCCCCTCTGCTTTGCTCCTTTCCTTGGGATGGGGAAGCATCAGTGCAACGATTTGCCGGGTCTCAGGTCACTTCCACAGCCGGGAGTGGAGATGCCCCATCCCTGGCAGTGCTCAAGGCCAGGTTGGACACAGGCGCTTGTAGCAAGCTGCTCCAGTGGAAGGGGTTGGAGCTGGAGGAGCTTTAAGGTCCCTTCCAACCCAAACCATTCCATGACTTTATGGTTCTGTGATTTCACAGCTCAGCCAATGGGGCTGATGGACTCAGCACCCCCATGCCGGATCTCTCACCCCTTCATTATCTCCTTGCTTCATCAGTAAAGCCGGACCCCCCCGAGGCCCTGCGGGTCTCCCCCATCCCTGGGGAGACCACGAAGCTGCTGCTGGAGTGGAGCCCACCGGGGTCCTGGCCCTTCCCGGAGTACTTCCCGCTGAGGTATCGCATCCGCTATGCGCAGGAGGACGGCTCCGTCACCGCAATGGTACTGCCCAGCCCTCCCGTGGGGAAACTGAGGCACGGCCGAGGGCTGCCCCCGAGCAAAGCCCTTCCCTCCGTGCTGCCCCCAGGTGGGTCCCTACGAGCAGACATCCCTCACGCTGTCGGGCCTGCGCCCCGGAGCCCTGCTCCACGTCCAAGTGGCTGCCAAGGACTTCACCGACTCCGGGGAGCTCAGTGCCTGGAGCGCTCCCGCCGCAGGGATGCCCTGGATGGAGCCGTGATGGGGGCACAGGGCCAGCATCCCCATCCCTTGTCCCACCGGGGACCCCACACCGTGCTGTCCCCTTTTCCCCATCCGTTTGGGGGCGGTCCTGCTTTTTTGATGTTTCTTTTGTCTCCTTGGTCTTCTCAGCTTCAATCAGGTCCAAAGGAAGCACGGAGCGGTTGTCACCAACAGCGCCTCAGCCCTGCCCTGCAAGCACCAGAACGGAGCCATAACGTCTGTAACGCCGACGGGAGGAGCCAGACCCAGGCAATAAACACACCTGAAGCTCCGATCCCCAGCCTGCTTTGGGATGTTCTCCACCTCTGGGGACGCTCCCTTGGCCGCTGAGAGGCCCCCAAACCCCCGGCAGTGTCCCTGGGGGGTGCAGCGCGGTCTCGAACCCGGGTCCCCGGTGCCTCCGCACGCCCGGTGCTCCCTCGCGATGGCCTCCCACCGGCAGGCGGCGCCGCTCGCACACGGGAGCCGTGACTCCCGCCGCCCCCTTCCGCCAGTGCGGCCGCCTCCCCCGCGCGGTGTGCGCACCACAGCGCCCCCGCTGGCCGCAGGGCGCCACCGCAGCGCTGCCCGGGGCTCCCCCCCCGCCCCGTCTCGCCTCTTGTTCCCCCCGGTTCCCTTCGGTCCTAGCGGAGCCCTGTGCTCGGCCCCTCGCCCTGGGACGTGTTCCCAGTCTCCATCCAAACCCGGTGCAGCTTGGGGCCGTTTCCTCTTGTTCCTCGGGAGCAGAGACCCTCCTGGCTCCGTCCTCCTCCGAGGTCGTTTGTGCCTCCCCAAGCAGGGGAAGGTGAAGCGCGTTTTCTCTTGGCTGTGCTTGTGTAGAGCCCTATGGGTGAGGGTGAGGATGAGGATGGGGTGGCAGAGGAAGCACAGAGCCCCTCAAGCACCCGTCCTCATCACAGCCCTGTCCCGGGGTGCTCAAGCGGTTCTGCTGCTGCCTGGCTTTGACCAGGGCACGGCCGTGGTCCCGCATCCCTCAGAGCGGGACGTCCCTGGCACCTGCCGGGGCAAGGAGCCCGGCTTCCCTTCGGAATTCCATGGATCCTTTTCCATGTTCCCCAAAGGCCGCACAGAGCCCTGCCGCCCTCCGCAGCAATTCCGGCTCCCTCAATCCCGTCCATGCTATTCCGGCTCCCTCAATCCCATCCATGCAATTCCAGCTCCCTCAATCCCATCCATGCTATTCCGTCTCTCTCAATCCCATCCATGCAATTCCGGCTCCCTCAATCCCATCCATGCAATTCTGGCTCCCTCAATCCCATCCATGCAATTCCGTCTCTCTCAATCCCATCCATGCTATTCCGGCTCCCTCAATCCCATCCATTCTATTCCGGCTCCCTCAATCCCATCCATGCTATTCCGGCTCCCTCAATCCCATCCATGCTATTCCGGCTCCCTCAATCCCGTCCATGCTATTCCGGCTCCCTCAATCCCATCCATGCTATTCCGGCTCCCTCAATCCCGTCCATGCTATTCCGGCTCCCTCAATCCCATCCATGCTATTCCGGCTCCCTCAATCCCATCCATGCTATTCCGGCTCCCTCAATCCCATCCATGCTATTCCGGCTCCCTCAATCCCATCCATGCTATTCCGGCTCCCTCAATCCCGTCCATGCTATTCCGGCTCCCTCAATCCCATCCATGCTATTCCGGCTCCCTCAATCCCGTCCATGCTATTCCGGCTCCCTCAATCCCATCCATGCTATTCCGGCTCCCTCAATCCCGTCCATGCTATTCCGGCTCCCTCAATCCCATCCATGCTATTCCGGCTCCCTCAATCCCATCCATGCTATTCCGGCTCCCTCAATCCCATCCATGCTATTCCGGCTCCCTCAATCCCATCCATGCTATTCCGGCTCCCTCAATCCCATCCATGCAATTCCGGCTCCCTCAATCCCATCCATGCTATTCCGGCTCCCTCAATCCCGTCCATGCTATTCCGGCTCCCTCAATCCCGTCCATGCTATTCCGGCTCCCTCAATCCCATCCATGCTATTCCGGCTCCCTCAATCCCATCCGTGCTATTCCGGTTTCCTCAATCCCATCCATGCTATTCCGGCTCCCTCAATCCCATCCATGCTATTCCGGCTCCCTCAATCCCATCCATGCTATTCCGGCTCGCTCCAGCTGAGGGCACGGCTGGGAGCGGGCAGAGAGGAGTTTTCCCGGGAATGCTGACAGCGCCTTGTAGCCGATCCCGCTTCTCCCACTCGAGCGGGTGCTGCCCGCAGCGCGCTGCTGTTGCCAGCGCTGGGGAGCGCGGAGGAGAGGCTGTTCCTTGCACAGGGAGAAAGCAGCCACGGGCCGGGGCAGGCCCTGGGTCAGAGATGAGGCACGAGTTATCCGCGGGACAAGCCAGCAGCAGCTTGAGGCTGGAAACCACTTCAGCCGGCAGGAACGGGCTCCCAGCAGCAGGAGCTCACGGCACGTCGGTCCACAGGAGAGCTTCCTTCCATAGGCCATGTGTGTTTGAGGCAAAGCATCCCTCCGGGGTGTCAGCTCCTTCTGGGTCTGACTTACAGCTGTGTAACCTTCCAAACACACAGCAAAGGCGTTTTTCCCTGGGAAAGTGTCAGCTCCCTTTGGCCTCACGCTGACAATCGGCCGTTGTGTGTCTGTTTGGTGATCCAGCGCGCGCTCAGAGGGACCCCAAAGGGGCTGAGCTGGACACCTGGGCTTTCCTGGCGCGGGTGATAGAGGCCAAGCAGCCTTTGTGGTGCTGGGGGTCAAAGCGGGTCGCTGGGATGGGAAATCTGTGCCGTTCAGAGCGGCTCGCGGCTCGCTAACGTGGGTGGGTTTGGAATGTGTGCTCACAAGGTCTTGAGATGGCGAGAATTGATTATACATATGGGGACAAACGTCCACCCCCTGCTTTTCTTTGCATTTTGTGGAGTCTGCTGTTTGAGCAAGAAAACAAAGGTATTGTGTTACTGGTTTCAGGCAGGCAGAGTTGCTTAATGCTTAAAACCCAGGCCCAATTATTTTTCCCCTTGGCTCCATGGCAGTGTATGACCTTAGGAAGGAAGCCGGCTTTGCTGCGTTTCCATCTCTGTAGGATGATGATAATGACTTGCAGGATGCTGGAGGGGCACTGGTTAATATTCAGAAGGATCGTGAAGCTTTTCTTGTTGATTCAGCTCTCAATAAAGCCATTGCCTGCGACACACTAAAATCAGTTCAGAACACATAAATTCGACGTCCTTGCCCAGGTGCGGTGGCAAACGCAGGAGAGCTTTGACAGGGTGGTTCCTGTGTAGTTTCTTGCTTGTTTTCATGCTTTATTAATAAGAAATCAGTGAATTTGGATTTTGATTCCGTAATGTCCTTGGCAGGGCCTGTTTTCCTGTCACCTGGCAGCTCTCAAAACTCTCACAGATGCTTCTCCATCATTTACATGTTCTGGAACCAAAATATGCTGCTTCATCAATTTCTTTATGGGGCTGGAGCTTCTGGAATACAAGGCAGTGACCTGGGGCAGTTGGGGTGTGCTTGGTTATGGCACCTCTGTGGCTGGAGCAGTAGCTCTCTGGCAACATGAGTACTCCCACAGCTGCAAGAGCAGCCCTCTTGGGCAATGAACCCATGGACCAAAGCTTGTGAGATCCTTTTCCAACAGGTATAGGTTATGTCTGAGCGTGTCGTGGAGGGGACCTGCGTGGTGGCACTCACTGGGGTCACTGTGGCTCTTTTGCTGCTGTGTTGTGGTGGGATGTAGCTGGGGTTTTGCCTGCGAGCAGCCCAGCTGGTGGCAGCCAGGGAGCGGGGAGCTCAAGCTCTGCTTTGGTAAGAAAGGAGCCTTGCACACCCTCACTTTCCTGGGTGGAGAGCTTGGCAGGCCTCAGACAGAGCCTTTCCAGCTGGGGTTCTTCTTTCCCTTTGGCCTCAGGAGAAGGGGCCTATTGGGGAGCTGCCCCTTCCAAACTTTGTCTTCTTGCACCTTCACAAGGCTCCTGTGTTTAGCCTGGGGCTCGCTGTAACTTAGCAGCAGCAGGTAAGTGAACAAGTACAGTGACCCGCCAGAGTGCCCGAGTGAAAACCCCTCTGTGCCAGGCAGAGGGGCTCTGCTGGGGAGGCGAGTGGGGTCGCGGCGTTCTATCCCCCTCTTTTCCTTTCACAGCACTTCCAAGTCTAATAAAAGCTGCTGATTCCTGCTTAGTGGATAACGTTGGTCACTAACAACCTCGCCCCGCTCTTAAAAAGCCAGCGTGGGTCTCAGGAGATCTAATTTAGGAAGCACGTGTAAGGCAAGGGTGTCCTGCACGGGCTCTGGGGTGGAAGCCGCACCGTGCAGTGCTCCAGGCTGCTCGGCTGCCAGAGCTCAGAGTGTTTTTATCCAGCAGCCAAGCTCTGCACCACTGGGGTGTGTGGAGCACAGATTCACCCCCAGACCAGGCTTTTGCCATTGTGCAGGGGCAAAATGCTCAATGGTGGTTCCCATAAGGCGCCATCTCCCTCCTCTAAGTGGTGGGTGATGCGGGAGGACACGTGCGTTGGTGTATTTAGGAACAGGGAGAAGACTGCAGTGTTCCTGTGGTTGTTCACTGGTGTAATGTGAGCTTTTATGAGCAGATTGCTGAAGATCAGCATGCGCCTACAGCCACTGCCCACAGCCACTTCTGCCTCGAGCCATGGCAAGTACCGGTGTGCGCAGCATCCTCCCTGAACACCGCGGCCACTTCAAACCTGCCTTCTGGCAATCCAGACCTGGGAGGAGAGGCTGATCCCCCCGGGTGCTGTGCTGGCTGGAGAGATGGGCAGGGAGGAACCGTTTGAGATGCAACAAAGGCAAGTGCAGGCACCAGAACTGGCTGGGGTGGACCTGCGGTGCAGTGCTACAGAGCCGAACGCAGCAGAGCCCCGAGCAGCGCGCTCCGCTGGATGCACTGGATGGCCAGGGTGGTCTCTTCCAGCCTCAACCGTGCTGTGAGTCTGTGATTTCCGCTCTGCAATAAGGCAAAGGAACCCATCTGTGGGCTGTTTTTCGCACGAGGGACAAGCATGTGTCAGAGCACCCCAAA